CAAAGATTGAGAGAGAGAAAGGTATGAATGTAAAAATAGGGTTCGGAAGGGCGTGGATGAATGGAAAAGAGTATGAATGGAATGAAGAGAGAAAATGGATGAATGAAAAGAATTTTTAAAGAGAGCCTTCACAGATAGTAAAAAAGAGAAGAAATGTAGAAGTGCGATAGAGAAGGGAGATGGAGAAAAGAGAAAAAAGAAAATCAGAGGGGTAACGTGGAATGTGGCAGGTTTAAAGAAAAAAGAAAGGGACTTTTGGGAGTACATAGGAGGTTTTGATATAATTGGATTGACGGAAACTTGGGTAGAGGAGAATGAGTGGGAGAATTTTAAAAGAAAGGATGCCAGAAGGATGGAGACAACAGCCGGCAAGTAGGGACTGCAAGAAGGGGAGAGCAAAAGGGGGGATTATAACGGGAGTGAGAACGGAGTTAGAAGAGAAAGAAAATGTATGCAAAGAGGAGCAGGGGATGCAAGAAAGGGTGGTAAGTTTGGATGGAGAGACATGGAGAATGGTCACAGTATACAATAGAGAAGGAAAAAAGGAATTGTTAGAGAAGATAAAGGAAGAAATAAAAGAGGAGGAAGAAGAAAGGTTAATGATAGTAGGAGATTTCAATGCTAGAATAGGAAGAAAAGGAGGATGGGAGGAAGGGGAAGAAGATGGAAACGAGAGAAGGGAAGAGAGATATTCAAAGGATGAGGTGGTAAATAGTCAAGGAAAAGAGCTTATTGAAGTGATAGAGGAGAGAGGGTGGATAGTGCTAAATGGGACAAAGGAGGGAGATGAAGAGGGAGAGTGGACTTATGAAAAGGCAAGTGGGAGGTCAGTTATCGACTACGGGATAGTTAATTGGGAGGCATGGCAAAGAGTAAAGAGATTTGAAGTGGGATGTAGGGTGGAATCGGATCACCAGCCGATAATTTTTGAGTTAGAAAATTATGTTGAGAGGCGAGAGGAGAATAAAAAAGAAGAGGGGACAGTGCAAGACTGGTCAGAAGAGGGAATAAAGGAATTTAAGAAGAGAATAGAGGGAGCAGTATGGAAAGAAGAAAGGGTTATAAAAGAATGGGAAGAGTTGGAAGGAGAATTGAACAAGGCAGTCAAAGTGAGGAGAAAAGGAAAAAGGAGAGAAATAGGGTGGTGCCCGTGGTGGGATAAAGAGTGCAGGGAAAAGAAGATAGAGACAAATAGGGCGAGGAGAAGGTATAGAAGGAAAAGAGAGCAAGGAGATGAAGAATTTATAAGATGTAGAAAGGAGTATAGAGACTTGTGTAAGAAAAAAGAGGAAGTATATAGAAAAAAGGAAAAGAGAGAGGTAGAAAATATAAAAACGGAAGCGGAAGCATGGAAGTTCATAAATAAAGGAAGAAAGAAAAGAGAGGGGATATGTAAAGAAATAGAAATAGGAAAATGGGAGAAGCATTTTAGAGAGATTTTTGGAGGAGTAGAGGAGAAGAGGCAACTTTGGCAGAGAAATAAAGAGGTGCATAGGGAGAAAGGAGAGGGGATAGGACAAGAAGAGGTAAATAGGGAAATAGGGCGAT